GTGCTCTTTAATCTTCATAAGTAAATATTTCAAGTCCTCTTCACTTTCAGCGATCAAGGTTGTATCATCTGCATATCGCAGGTTGTTAATGAGTTTTCCTCCGATCCTGAGTTCTTAGTGCTTATCATATAGAGCCACTACACTCCCTTTTTATTTACCAGAAGTTTGTTATCTAAAGGAGAAATACAAAATACACTTATGATTATCTAATTTGTTCACTAATTTATTCTTTACTTCCTTTTATTGGCATGTAATCTAAAGGGTAAGTAAAAAAGTATTACTACAAAAATCATAGAAAGCTTTATAAAGCAAAGCTATCAAAATGTGAAGTTGTTGTTTCCATACATATTTTTCACTAAGGTCTGTATACTATTTTTTATTTTTATTGTGAATTGAGCGATAGTTTACATGGGAGAACATCGATTTTTATACCATTGTTTCATTGCAATGATTACAGTCTCCTCCATGCATCATCATTTAGCAGTATTTGTTTCTATTCCCTCTTTTTTGGGGGGGATGTTGTGGGGAGTCTTGGTGTGGCGCTGTGGGTTAATGCGCCAGACTGCAAAGCCATTTGAACTGTAAGATTGATGGTTCACGCTCACCAGCCGCTCCATGGAAACCTTATACAGGGTCGCTATGGGTAGGAACCAACTTGATTGCACTTAACAACAACAACAATATGTACACATAAACACTCAGGAATATGTAATAATTTAAACAATCCTAGGGCACATTCTGCAAGCCTGCCTCCTAGCTGCCAGCACTCAGTCTTTCTCTTTCTGTAAGTCTAGAGTCATCAGCTGCTCTCTCCATGTCCTCATCTCTTCCTTCATCTCTGGTGTCGCTGTTTCTCTGGATAAGATCCCACATTACGCTGTGCTTTGGTAGCATAGTGGTTACGAATTCAGCTGTGAACCACAAGGTCAGCAGTTCGAAACTACCAGCTGTTCCGCGGGAGAAAGATGAGGCTTTCTGCCCCCATAAAGATTTACAGCCTCGGAAACCCTGTACAGGGTGGCTATGAGTCAGAACTGACTCCATGGGACATAACAACAACAACTTCTCCCTTGATGGTCCTAGGGTCCTCTGTTTCTGGACTGTAAGATTAACTGCTCTCCCATTTTTGTTACAAAACGTATAGCTTTACAGTTGTGTCAGTCACAATCAGTCATGATAACAATTACTCACTATTAAATCATAAGAATCTTATCCCCATCTCTTTTTACCAGATTCATCTAGACAAGATGAAAACTATTCATTGGGGACTCTACCATCCCCCATACACTCTTAAACTAAATTCCCTCTTGAAAACGTTTAAGCCAGTCAGTCACTTTGTGCTTTTATAGCCCCCTCATTTTTGGTAGCCAGTGTCTGAGTTGCTCGTCCCTTTCTACCTTGCATACAGAGGGAATAGCATTGATACTTGATGTGAAGACTCCTTCCCTGTCAGTATTTTGAGTTACTACATCCTTAAGTATAGGTCAAGTTCATCAAATTGTAGCAATTCACACTTGTTTCTTTTATCAAAAATTATTTTCTTTATCTTCCTCTAGTCAAGTTCTGATTATAAAGCCATAGAGGCTAGATCAAATGGGTGCTATCTGAAAGTTTGGATATTCTTGTGTGTTTCCTCTCACCTCATATCAGCTGGATGCTTCACTCTCAGCTGTAGCCCTCTGTGTCTATGTCTTTGCTTGTGGGCTCAAGAGTCCCCTGGTCTCACCACACTTCGAACCAACCAGCCCTTCCTCTTCACTCTTTCATCTCCATGTCAATGGGAATCTGAGGAATGTGGTTGAATTCAGCCCATTTCTTTATTTCTGGCTTTCTCCTTCTTCCACTCACCAGTAGACTAACATGGTCACCAGCAAGCTCGTGTATTTCCTTTGAGTTTCAGTCTTGGAGGGGTTTTGTCTTAAAGGGACTTGATTACTTGCCTTGATGGCTCCCCAGCAAACAACTTGCTTGTTCTTGCATTAGCCAATCATAGTGCCATTTTTATTTTGGATTTTTCCTGCTTATGTTTTTTTCAAGAAGTATTGTCTGTTGCTCTAGATGATCCAGACTGATCTACTTGTCCTTTCAGTGGGAATGCCCCACCTCATAAGGAGGTCTATATAATTCTGAAGGTGGGTTTCCATCTTTCAAACCCTTCCCAAATAATTCTGTGTTCTTCCATTTACACCATGTTGAATTAACAGTTTTGGCATCCTCATTGAAATCAGATCATGTTCCTTTTAAATATTCTTTGAGTTTTGGGAACAAAAGGAATTTTGATGCTTGGAAAGAATCAGTCGACTAATGGACCATGTAAACATCAGTTTCCACATCCCTGAGACCAGAAGAACTAGATGGGGTCCTACTACTGCTGTCAACTGCTCTGAAAGGGATCACATTAGACGGTCTTAGATAGAGTGGGAGAAAAATGAGCAGGTACATTGTTGTGATGGACAAAAATTCTTCGGTGCAATTTTTCTAATCTTTTTCTCACCAATGCAATTTTCAATTTTCTTAAAACTTCCAAATAAGTCCCTGTGATCATCCTGTGACCTTCACAAAAATATATGTAAATTACCCCATTGGAGTCCCCCAAAACTGTCTCCATAACCTTCTGAGCCGAACTCTCTACCTTGAATTTAACTGGCTCAGCAGATCCTTTGGGAAGGCTCTGTTTTGACTGGCCTTTTTTTTTTTTTTGCAGACACCATAATACGATTGTTGTTATTGTTGTTAAGTGCCGTGGAGGAGGTTCTGACTCATAGCAACCCGGTATAGGGTTTCCAAGGAACAGCTGGTGAGCTTGAACCACCAACTTTGCGGTTAAAACTGACTTTGCGGTCCAGCTCATTAACCCACTATCATTTAAGACAGGTGTATTACTGAGAGAGCTTGTCTATAGACGTCCACCAATCACAGAGACATATTTAAGCTTGTTTTGATTAAACCCATGCATGTATGTATGAACTGGGATCCTAGTTGCAATACTTTTTTACTTACGCTCGTGTCTGCAAGTCTTAACCATTGACTTAATCATTGGACTTAACCACAGTATCCCAGCACTTAGGACAGTGCTTGATACGTAATGCTGTTAAGTGCTGTTGAGTCCGTTCCACTTCCTAGCTACCCAGTATAAGGTTTCTGAGGTTGTAAATCTATAAGGGAGTAGAAAGCCTTATCTTATTTCTGCAGAGTGACTGTGAGCTTGAACTGCCAGCTTTGTGGTTGCAGTCCAGTGCATATCCTACAGAGTTACTGTGCTTCCTGGTACATTATAGGTTGTTGTTATTTGTTGTTAGGTGCCATCGAGTCGGTAC